AGGAATATATTGCATTCAAGCACTTACTTGAACTTAATGGATTAAGTATTTTGAGGAATTAAAACATGATTAGTAGCTTATTCACGAAAGTTACTTGAACAAAAAAATTGAAAAGGGTAACGTAGAATGCATGTATGTAATATTTCATCCAAGACTACATTGATCCAATAAAATCTTATTACATATATTGCATCAAGATATTTAGGGGTTCATGCAATAAGTCAATTACATGAAAGTATGTTTATATTGTTATTATTGCGGTCGAATCTCTCTGAAACATTTTATCATGAAGAGAAAAGAAAATAATTTTGAAAAATATGAATAAAGAGAAAATAGATTTAAAAAAAGATGAGTAGATACCCTATAGAGTCATAATAAACAATGATCATAATCATAAAATACTCATTATAGGTGCACATAAAGCACGAGAACCACCTTAAAATAAATCATGGAAAGTAGGATACCAATATGAGAAATCAATATATGGATTTAGGAAAAGAGATTTATTTAAAACTCATGCAGCATTTTGCATAATATGTTCCTGTATTTAGAACCTAGCCAGCTAGCACTATATAAACAAACAGGGTGACTCTAAAGTTAGATTGTGAGGCAGAATTGTAATTGTTGCCAGTAATGGAAATTCTTACTGGTTCTGCACATCAGAAGGGTCCACCATTAATGTCGCGCCCACACAGCTTCAGTCTCACAGGCACAAGTAAGAAAGCAAAGCATGCCTCTCTCTCTCTCCGTCTCTCTCTCTCTGTTTTATCAGTTTCAGTCTCTCTCAAAGTTCAACAAATGTGGCAAAATCTGCCAAACTACGTCTTCATAGTAGAACAATGGAGACAGTGAAAGTGAAAAACAGAAAAAGGAAAAAGAGAAGCCAACATCACCAAAAATTGTCATTTTCACTGTTTACTAGTGCTTATTAAATGCTTATCATAACGATGAACACTGTATATGTATTGTTGTGATGGAATCAGAACCATCCAGAGTCTGATATAGATTATCCAGAGATCTTCACTTTTGATCCTAGTTCATTTGGTAAACATGAGACTCATCCCCCACAAGACACGTTGTGATGCAATCATATTTCTATCAATTTAATTGTGACTACTTGATATATCTTGTATTAAGAATCTATTAATTCATATTTAAGAGCAATTCTACTTTGAGGTTTTACAAAAGAATTATCATATGCTCGAAAGATTTAGAACTCATAGGGTAAAACAAAACAAAAAATCTTATATATCTAAAAACAAGAGTAATCAATAGGAATTGAAAGTATTAAACATGAGAGCATATTGATTAGATGGATATAATATGTATAACATTTTTATACAATTATCTAAAATTTTGTAGAACCTATAAGACAATGCAAAGTTGGGATATGTTAAAGATTTATTACTCTAACTTTTATGAGACTAATGATATGTTAAAGATTTAAGATGGGATATTTATTCTCTCATGCATGACTTAATCATAGTATTATCAGATAAAGTATCAACATGCAGATATTTTGAATTAAAATAAAGTGATTAATTAATTCAAAAGTGATTCATTAAATTAAAGCATTTATTAGAAACGAAAGCTTTAATTATTAATGGTTCTGTGCTGCTTGCTGCAGAATAAACCTACCACAAATACACATCTCATTAAGTAATGTGGCAGAAAAAAAACGACTCTTTCCGGGTATTACGTTTACAGATAGACCTGGTTTTTCTTTCTCAACTTTTTTAATACTCTTTTGACATAAGACCTAATTAATTAATTTGAATATATTATGTTACTTAAATTAGTTAATATGATATGTTTTTCTAAAACATCTTAAGTATCTTTTTTAATTCTCTCCCTCCCTCCCTCCCTTCTTTTTCTACTTGATTATTATTGAGAAATATTAATAATGTTAATTTGAGCAAAAAAAATTGATAAACATGTAAAATAAGTCTTCCATACAAGACCAATATTAATATCCAATTAGGTGTTATGTTAAGGAAAGGAAAAGACAAAAGAGTAGTAGTTTTAAATTATTTTGATCAAATTTTAACTATTTAAACCTTGTAAATATTTTTTTTTTTGGGTGAAGATTTAAACCTTCTAAATTTGATATAATAATATCGGTCCTTAATTATAGCATTACATAAGTTGTAAATAAAGTAGCAGACTACTGTTGTGGGCAGTAGAGTGGTCCAAAGTTGCTGCAAGCAACAAACTGCATTGTATAGGGGAATCTGATTTTTTTTTTTTACAATTATAAATTAACAATTGTACATCACATTATGAGGGAATAAAAAATAACAAAAAAAGTGAAACAGTATATCAATGCATATAATAAATTTTATAACAAGTAAAATATTTTATAATTTATAAAAAATACAACTTATTCCTCAAATTCTCTAATGTATAGAGAATTGTATTTAATTTTATGTAATGTTAATTTTTTTATGTCATCGCATATTCATATAGTTTCTAATAAAATTTGGCTGGTCACAATATTTATGAATAAATATGTTTGACATTTTTCTTTTTCAGAAAACGTATTTGGGATAATAATTTATAATTATTTGATCTCATAGATTACATAATCACTTATGAGCATGACCTATCATAACTTTATATCTTATATTAAAACTAATTCTAATAATCTTAGTATTAGTTATTTCACCAGCTTAAAATTAGAAAGGCGCAATGTACAAAATAAATTTGACTCCTTCTGTCAGCTCATAACCCACAAGGCCGTGAGTTCGAATTCCGCTGCCGATATGAAGACTTTGTTGGTGGGCGATCTGCAAGTACCTCTGTAAGCGCCTTTTGAGCCTTGAGGTATGTCTTGGCCCTGGTGAACTCTTGGGACCCAACTCACCTAAACTATTGACTATTAAAAAAAAAAAGATTTGACTCCTTCCAATGATATGATGTCAAAACAACCACTTACATAATAAAATTTAATATATATAATATAAAATTGACAATGAGTTGTATAAGTTATAAAAATATGTTGATTTAAATTTTGTATTAAAGTACTTAGTGAAAAAGTAAAGCTCTATGATGTCTTGCTTGCATTAAGCATTGCATGAGTTGGTCACTAAAAGGGGAACATAAAAGAGTTGATAGGAGAAGCATCTTGAGACCCTCCATTAAATTAAAAAAAAAAAGGAAGGGAATATGACTCTGTAATTCATTATTATTTATTGTTTTTATTATTGATATTTAAAAAAAAATGAAAAGGAGGCTGACTTTTTCTTTTTGTTAAAGCAGAGTAGGGTTATTATTACAACCACCAATGGTACATGTGAAAGTAGGTCAACTGTCAAAGCATTGCTCTTTTTAGCATGCAGCCTTCAATTATTTTTTACTGCGTAAAATTATTTTCTACTGTGTCAATTTTTTTAACTTCGAAGGTAGAGGTGATTTGATAGAGATAGAATATGCTCAGATTAGGAAAATCTATTATTAATTTTATGAATATTTTTATTTGAATACGGATTATCTCTTAAATAAATAATTTAGATTTATACCAACAAGTTGTTGATTGATTTGGTATACAGTCTCATCTCTGTAAAAAGAAAATACAAATTCGAATCCTGAGAGCATACTTTGTGAAAGAGGTCAAAACCATTTACGCTCTAAGCCTTGAAAGGGAAAATCTTCTTTACTTAGTAGGATTTTCTATGATTATAATTTCTTTTGCTTAAACTTGAGTCAGATTTAGATTTCTTAGAAGAAAATTACTTAGGTTAAATTCATTATATTCATCATGTCAAGAGCTCTAATTATACATGGTCACGTATCATATGACAATGACATATGACCAGGTATGATTAGAGAACTTGATAAAATAAATACATAGAACTTGATGTAAGTATTATATTTTTTAGGACTTTATACATATAATATTAATTACTCCAATCTTTTTATAAATTGAATAAAATTGAGTATTTTGTGATCACTTCCTCTTCTTTTTTTTTTTCTTCACTTTCTTTTCTATGACCTTTTCTCCTTCTTGTTCTTCCTCCTCTCATGTCTCTCCCATTCTAGGCTTTTCTTATAAGAACTACTTAATTAATTTGAATATATTAAAAAAATTAATTAAATTAATTATTTGTAACAAAAATGAGTTAATTTTCATAAAGTATTATTTTAAACATGACTACTATTACTTAAAAATTCCCTTAGTATATGCAATCAATAAACATACTTTGAAAATGAATTATAAATTTAATACCCAATTCAGTTCCCTACTAGTTCTTATATTAAATACTAGTAGTATTATACTCCCTCTGCTCTCTTTTATAAGATACAATTGACCAAATTGCATTGTTCAAAAAGTTAATTAAAATTGGTTACGTATAATAAATGAGTAAAAAATGAATTTTATTTTTCCAAAATATCCTCATTTATGTGGAAGAGGGAGAATATGTAGTGAAGAGAGAATGTGTAATAAGGCAAGAGAAAGTTATGCTGGGAAAAAGAGAATGCGTAATTAAATGAGAATAAAATAAAAAGTTTACAAATAAATTTTGAGATAACATTTAAATTTCTCTTATAAAAAAGAATAAGACACACCGGAAAGAGGGGGTATCAAATTTAGAATAAAAGAAATACGATTCTAATTACAATTCGCTATAAATAAATTACATATATTTTTTTTTATTGATTTAAACTAGATCAGTCCTCCATGCATTACATAAAATTTAAAGAATAAGCCTAATCATCTGTAACTTACACATTTGATAATTAATGATGATTCACACTGTTGGAAGTAACAATTCAATTTTTTGGTTTTTTTTTTTTTTTTTTAGCAAAATTCAATTTCTACGGTTGAAAATGACATTATATTCAAAAAAAAAAAACATTTACAACATGCATGCGCTCAAATAAAGGGCAGAAGATAATTACACCACTTGTTAAGAATGGCTTCTAATAATTTATTTTAAAAGCTTTACTAGGACAGAACAAGTATAGCATTTATTAAACAGGATACATAGACCTGCACAATATTACAAGAAAATATATATCAATTGCTCAGATGGTGGATAACACGGCATAATTTGTATGATCATCAAGAGATTACTACAGCAAGCACCCGCATGGGAAACCGAAAAACCAGAAACACAGTATTCTGCTGCAGATTTTCAAGGCAAGCCTACCAGAATTGGGAAGGCTTTGAACAAATTAATCAGATCCAGTGACAGCATAAATATACCCTACATGGACCTCAACACTGGCAGCCTGAAAAGAGACCTAGCTACAAAATTTACAGATCTCAATCAGATTGAAAAGAGCCGCCTGAATCTAACATCCTGGAATGGAATTGCACATAATGATTATTATTCACTACAGACACTAGGGGGGGAATTATTCTTGAAAAAATTGGAGATTGGTCTAATAATACAACACCAAGGGAATGTGAGAGGGTCAACCAAACTGAGAACCTAACTATTGTCAACATCTTGTACTTTTAGACGGCATGTTTGTTCAAGCAGCATTTCATAGATTTCTTTTACTGTAGGTCGTTTGGCCGGATTTTCTTCCACACACCTATGAAACAAATCAACAAGGAATTTCATCAAGTCTGCCTCAGTATCTGATTTGTCTGGCTCATCACCGGATCGAATCATCGTGGGTTCATTCAGTGAACTCAGGGCCTCCAGTTCTTCTGTTAATTGTGGTGGTTTACCCATCTGAAAAGATAATGTGAAAAAAAAGTCATTCAAGAAAGAACTTGCTATCTGCTTTTCTAAGTATAAAAGAGGAAAACAAACCTGTAGAATGTCATGGAATTGTAAATCAGACAGCCCAGAAAATGGAACACGCAGCGTGAGAAGCTCCAGAAGTAAGCATCCAAATGACCAGATATCAACTTCCTGTTACAAGGAAAGAAGTATTACAACCCAATAAATGCTGCATCAGTTCATAGACGTTGAATCATTTTCAATGTGAAACTTAGGTTGACTATAATCAGCATCAAAGAATAAAGCAACTACCAAACTATTATCAGTATAAAACATGTAACGAAATCAAGAATTCAATGCCCACAAACATCATATGCATTCAGAATTGATGCTAGCAAGGCATACATCAAAGAATAGATAAGAAAGGAATTGACTAGAACTTGAAATAGCTGGATATTCTTCTGTAAGAAGTAAAAATCATCCCCAGATAGTTGCACTCTAAATTGCTCATTTAAATGTCAACTGTAAACCTAGAGAGGCATTAGCTTAATATAGATCAATAATAAGCTCAGAGTATAGATGATCAAGTAAAGGATCTTACCAATCCATAAGTATTTTCTTTGTACATAGTCCGCATAACCTCTGGAGCCATCCATCGTGGCGTTCCAGTGCACACATAAGGAGGAGGCGCTCCCACATGAGCGATACAGCAGCTATGCAAAGGTGATCTTAGTGGCACTGCGCTGTCAAAATCACAAAGCTTCACAGTAGGGGTGCCATCATCTTTCTTTCTATCCAAAGCAATTAGAATGTTTTCACTTTTTACATCACGATGAATTATGTGCTTTGAGTGTAGCTCTGACAATGCACATGCAACATCTTTGGCGATATACAGAGCCAGCTCTACCGGAACATGCTTTTCACCAGCTTTTGATAACTTGTCAAGATAGGTCTGATGGAATATGCAAGGAGAAAATAACTAAACCATTTTAAAAAAGCTGTCAACAATAACAAAAAAGGATTACAACCAAGCTTACCTTCAAAGAGCCCCCTTCTATGTACTCCATAAAAATTGCAGACCTTAAAACACAATGCTCAGGATTACCATCTTCTAGAAGAGTCCACTTGTAAGATATTTGGTGTCCATACATTTCAACTATACAAGGGTGTTTCAAAGCACCTAAAATTCTCACTTCTCCCAAACAATTATATTCAAAGTTTTTTATTTTGTCTGGTGAACTCTCCTTCACTTCCAAAGTACGCACCTGAGACATCACAGAAAATGTATTAAAGATATATGTTGTACAGAAGTAATTTGAACATTTAAAAAAGAAAAACCCCTTCTTCCCATCTACTGCAAATCCAAACCACCCATTAACATTATGAGGTAAATTCACAGCGACGCATTACTTGAGAACATAACAATCTCTAGATAGATAATACAATTAAGCTAGAGTCCCAACAACACTTTAGGTAACACACCTTTGCTGCAGCCTCAATTGACCCAAATTTGCACCGAACTAAAGTACTTGAAGATGCCTTCTCAAATTCGTCACATGTAGAGAGAGATGGAAATGAACAACCAGGACCAGGAGTTCCGTCAGATGAAATAGGAACTTTGGTTCGACTAAGAGGTATATACCTGGGAATTGGAATCATAAACAAGTCGTCAGATTACAAAGAACCTATATAAATTCCAGAAATCTTAGAATTAAACACACTCCCAAGCAACACTTGCACAGGACAGCAACATTCATTCAGGAACTCAAAAGTAACATATCTATCTGATGATATAGGGCCACACTTTTTTTATGCATTAAATAAAACTATTCAGAGTTTGCTCCTACAAAGAAATAAAGGACTACTTGAGAATAGCGAAAGAAAGTTTGTCTCACTTCATCAGCACTGATTAATAATTTCAGAAAAATAAGTCCAGATTCTAGGATGCCAAAATGTCTAGTTACTACAGATATACTGTCAAACTTTCCTTTGCATTATCAAAAGCTATGCTTCAGCAACCAAATAAAAATAACTAACATTCACCATATATGTTTATCTCAATTCTTAACGAGAACAAAATGACATTTTACATGAAAAAGAATTGCTAATCAAGGTATGAAGTACAGACCTGCAAAAGAACTCAGGGTCTGCCTCTTCTCTTATATCATGCGGCCGGCATGCATCAACTATCATTCTAACCTGGGTATCACCTCTGTTAACTACGATGGTGTTCCAGGCATGTGGTGAAAAATCTAAGAAACCCCTGACAAGCTCACAGGGTACTGGAGGCTCCATGCGATCACATAAATACTGACAGAAATTGCATTAGGTCGTCATAGGTAAACAATAGTAATTACAGAAAATGATGTACATGCAATGTAGTAATATGATTAAAGCAACAATGGTTACCTTCAAAAGCAGAGCTCTATGTCTACACACACCAAACTGCACAGATCCAATGGGAACTATGATTGAATTTCGTCTCCTTTTTAAAGACTCAAGAGATTTTTCAGAGTTACTAGCAAGAGTAATGTCTTCACTGTTTACAACTGGTTTGGAGGAAGCACTAATACCATTGTTGCTTCCAGTTGAGCATGTACAGACAAAAGGCTTGTGATAGTTTGAACCAGACACTGCTTTTCGTGTCCTTTCTACAATAGCACTTCTATCACTGCCCCCAAAATGATCTGATACAAAGAGGGCAAGCAGCGAAGCAATCTGGAAGCTATCAAGAGCAACTTGATTCCCATGTTTGGTAAAATCATTCCACTGCTTCAAATGACGCACCAATGACTGAGCAGAGAGTGTTATGGCATCCAGATCTTCATCTCTTTCTCTGATAAAAGGGAGGAAAACATTAAGAAACAGCCCGACACAATTATTGTAACACTCTGCACCCAAGAAATTGTTCTGAATGCCCATGTCCAAGTAGATAGCACATACTTCATATAATAGTAGTAATAGTAGTATTAATTCTAATTATATCCAATCTACTCTAATTAAAAACACATGAATAGTAGTTTTACTATTTGTATATCCACATGACAACTTTTTTAATTGTGCGCTTTTCTGGTCAAGTATTTTCAAAACTGTAATTTTATCATTGAGCTCCATGCACTTTTCCTCTTTACAGTATTTTCATATTTCCTTTAAATTTTACCATCTCCATTTCAAATTGGGCCATATATATATATATATAATATATATAAGAATCAATAATTACCGTGATATAATTGTATGTATGATTGAATTTTTTCCTTAAAAAGGTACATAAATAATAATTCACTTGCATTTGCAGGGGTTGGCCACTAGTTATTTTACTAATAAATAGTAAAAAAAAACAATAAAAAACCTGTCCACTAAGATGACTTCACGAGAGGCAAGGCACTGATTTTGCTCATAACTCTCAAGGGGCATAAAAGGTCGATCACGTCCAGCATCATAAAAACCATCTGGCAGATGGTCTTCGGCACCACAAAATGATAATCTACTGTACTTGTAGGACAATGATGAGCTATCACCAATTGGTTTTCTAGACTTGCATGGTTTAGGATTATCAAGATCCCTTTCTGAATGTCTCTTTGATTTAGAAATATGCTTCAAAGATTCTGAACTTGATGCATTGTCCTGCCCACTAGGTCCATTCTCCAACGGGCATAAGGAAGCATCGTTTTCATCTTCGCTTCTACTGGAACAATCCTTAAATTGCTTTTCAATACCCACTTCATTGTTGTTAACATCATCAATTACACTGTCATTCCCAGCTTCTTCTGAGACCATCTTTTTAGCTTCATTGTCCAGACACACACTATCTGATGGACGAGCTTCACTGCAGTTTTCAACAGCAAGGCTGCCTTGGTTTTCTGATTCACAAATTCTATGCATGTCCTTGCCCAGTTGTGAATTATTTAAACCTTTCCACTTCCTGCTGTTGTTTAAGCACTCTTGGCGGGCTTTCTGCTGTAAGTAGTGCCGCCGCTTCCACTTTTTACCTGATTTCCGCGTTGCAAAACATCTACTAGACGAGGAGCTAGTTAATAGGCTTGATGAGCTATTACGAGATGCTGCAGAAAAGAACCATGTGAGTAAATTTGGCTCCACATATATGAACTCAAATGAAGACAAAGGTGATTCCAAAAACAAAGGATTATATTTGGCCTAACAAAAAAAAAAGAAGGGATAATCTGCAGTCCTCACCATGTGAAAGTAGTCCATCATTCTCCAGTGAACTCGTTTCATAGACATCCATTTCAACAGAAGAACTGCTAAAATCATCGCTGCATTCACCTCTGTCGTTTCCTTCCATATTACAATGAATCCATGAAGGTATTTGAAGCATGCTGCGCAGCTTATTGAACTTGAAAACAAAAATTCAAAAATGTTAAATTCACATAACCAGAAGCCCCCCCCCCCCAAAAAAAAAAAAAAACAGAACAAGGACTCCACTTGCACACCAAACTTTTAACTTATGGTTACAAGCCTACACAAAAGAAGTATAGATAGTTATGTGCGTGAATGTGCACAAAAATCCCAGATCCATCATGTTTTGCTTCATAGGCAAGCTACGAACACAAAATCAATACCTTAGATGCACAGAGGCACCTTCATTCTGGTGTCCCCCCATGTCCAACGCTGTCAGATGCCACCACGTTAAACAATTTCACCAAATATTTAGGAAAGAAAAACAGACCAAATTATTGCATACAATATGCTAGAACACATACAGCTGAACACGTAAGCTAAGCTGACCGAGAAAAACAAATTAAAATACAATGTTACATTCAACACATTGATTTGAATAAATATATATTGCTGGCATTATAAGAGCTAGTTAAAGCATACAAGATACAAACATATTAAGTTATATGCTTATAACGTCATAAAGATAAATTCATAATATAAAAAGACTAAGAAAGTCAGATGAAAAGAAAAAGAAAAGCAATGGACAACATGTATGGGAAAAATATTCTCACTAACTAATGACCATGGTACTGTGATTTAAAAAAAAAAATATTATACTTAGGTACCTGAAGATTTAAATTCTGAAGTTTATGCATAGACCCAAGTTCAAGAGGTCCCAGTGAAGTCAACCTATTACTTGACAGGTCCAAGTTCTCCAGCCCGGACAAAGATGCCATAGTTGATGGTAGTTCCACCAACTTATTATTGGAAACTTTCAAAGATATCAAGCCATTCAAATAACTGATTTCGGAGGGCAGTGTCTTCATCTTATTGAATGAAAGATCAAGATACTCCAGTTTCTTTAAGAGGCCAATTTCAGGAGGGAGGTATCTACAGAAAAGCAGAAAGCATGACGATTTAGAACCAAAAAGAATGAGAAATATATAGTTCACTGAAAATGCTAATGATCCCACTAAACAGAAAAAAGCAATAAAATGTTACAATCTCAAAACACGAGGCTTGTGAAGCATGTTAAGGAGGTTGTTAATGATGTTGATACTATCAATCACCAAATTAAACGTCCAAAACAGAACCGCAACCAAGTGCCAAAATAATCTGTGATGGATATAGGGATTTTAGTGTATCCAGACACGTTCTTATTTGCTGGCAGAGTATGGAGTCCAATTTACTATCCATATCACGATGCCACTTTGAAAAGTTGACAAAATGAAAAATGCTCATGGGCAAACAATGCATCCACACAATTGCTTTTCAAAGTTAACCTCCTACTTGTTTGCCTAATCAATATCATAATAGAGAGCCATCTTCATTTTCTTCAACCCCCCTTCCTTAACCACGAGCAACACTCATAAACTATTCCAAGACAATGGACCATTTGAAATCATGATGCAGCAAATTTTTCATATACTACTCAAAAGAGTTGCAGCTAGAAAATCAAGGTCTTATCTGACCACAACAAAAAAAGGCCCACCAAATCAGTATTAATAATTTTATCTGACCACAACCAAAAAAGGCCCACCAAATCAGTATTAATAAGCAACTAACCACATGAATGAAAAACCTATTTAATCAGCATAAGTTACCCTACTCTGCAACATAACTATTATATCAATCAACACAACCCAAGTGTATATCTGAATTCAATTTAAAAATAGAATTGCCCAGAGCTTGAGTTATGAATTATTCATTCTTGGCTTGGAGTCTCAAAAAGCACAACTCAAACTGTTGAAATAAATAATTGAAATTAACCGGTTCCGACTCAGATGGCAGGATCAAGTGTTTACTCCCTAATAGAAAGAAAATATGCATCAAACTAGATAAATTAAACCATATCTCCACAAATGCAATCTAACTTTCAGCACAGATGCTTCAACTTGGCATAGTTATTCTCCATCATGAGAACCGTCACTCATATAATGCCATTATCTCGGGAGGGAAAAAATTGGCCAGATGGAAGAAAAAAGGTTATGATGTGGAAAGTTTTGATTTTAACTAAAAAAATACCCAATGAGGACAGTTTAAACTCAAAGCAGGGAAAATCGGCAATCCAACTTCTTAAGCAGCCCGCACATACATTAGCTGCCAGTGAAAGCCAAAATTACTATTAAACAAATAGCCACATTGAATTACCAACCTTATAGAAAAGTGGCAAATAGATAGCTTGGACAAGGACTTAAGACCAGCAATCTCTGTCAATATAGGGAAAGCAGAAGGCCGCGGAGGCACTTTGGACAACTCTAACTCCTTCAAACCCTTCAACTTATGCAATGGCAACCCACCAATTCCAGGAGAAGATATCTTCATCTGCAAACACTCCAAGCCCGTCAGGTTTCCAAACTCTGGGGCAAACAAATTAATCTCATTTCCGAAGAACTTCAATGTCTTCAACCGCGCAAGACCTCCCAAAGACTTGGGGATCAAATTGTAGACATTCTTATAAAAATACAAGCCCTCCACGGAGTCTTCTGCGTTCTCCAATACCGGGAACTCCACGGTTTTCCCGAACACATCGAGAACCGCATCACCATTATCAAGGCCACGGTCAATGCCTTCAACCACAGACGAACTGGAGGGTTTCTCTTCTTGGGTTTCCTCAGGAAGGTCGCAAGCCTCAGAGGCGGTCTCATCGGACTGAAGAAGCTTCATGTAGCTTGCAGAAATTGAAGTCGACCAGAAAAGAACGGAAAATGGTGAGTTTCACAGGAATGGGAAAAGATCAGGTGGTGTGAAGAAAGAAAGAATAGGTTCGGGAAGCAAGAAAATTTGAAAGCAAGAGGGAAAAAAGGAAAATTTTGACGAAAAATGAGGAATAATTGGGTTTGCTCTGCTATTGTAGGCAGAGAAACCCTAGAATCCAGACGCGGAAATTCCAGTGATTTGATCATTTATATCTTGGAACGAACCTACGGGGAGCGTTTTTGGTACTTACGGAGGCCGCTGAGAAAAGACGATAATAGCCCTCGTTCAGACCATTATCTGCTCATTTGGGGCAGCTAAGGTCAAGCAGAGGCTGCAGCGGCCGGGAGATAAAATTACAGAATTTCAAATCAGAAACCTTTACAAAAATATTTTGTTACTTACAAACTAAGCATACTGTTAAAATATAAGAAAAGACCCTAACTTGAAATTTAGAAATTTTCAGATTCTTTTTATGAAATATTTTCTTATGAAAAAAAATTCTAACATATTTTATAAGAATTCAAAAAATCTTAAATTTTATTGATACTATCTCAAATTTAGTAATAATTTTTGAATTTACTTGTATTTAATATTATTTCAATCTTATTTATAAGTTATTTTATATTTTTAAAATTTAAAAAAATATTAAAATCGTTAATTAAGAATAAAAATTTAGGGGGTGTTTGGAAACCCAAAACCATGTTTCAGAAGCATTTTTCAAAACGAGATAATCTCCTCCACATAACTTCGTAATCCGTAAAAGCACTTTTAAAACATAGTTTGGTTTCTATCCAAACACCCCCTTAATGAGTTTTCAACTTTAGCCTTGATGAATGTACATACATTAAAAATTAAATAACACACACCATATTTAACAATAGATAAAAGAAAAAACCAGTGATAAAAAAATTAATGACATGTCTTATAAATAGAATTAAAAAAATAAAATAGTTATTCTTCTACCTTATAAATAGAATCAAATAACATATACTTTTTTAAAATACAATAAATAGAATAATAAATTAGCAATAATTTTCTGTTTCTATAACATATTTACAGTATTAGGGGAGGAAGATTTATATAAGACACCTTTTAAAAAAACAAATTGTACGTATTTGGAGTCAGCCCATCCCAGTTTGATTAATCAAAGTCCGTAATTTTAAATGCTGATGGTTTGATTTCAAAACTGGATTTCAAGTATTCCATGAAAAATTATAATTTGCAATAAAATATAGGCTTGGGAATGTTAAAAGGATTAACGTATATCTTTGTCACCCAAAAAAAAAAAAAGAATTAACGTATAAATTTATCTTGAAATTTTTACTTATGAACAAAATGTGCCTGAAGTTTTTTCTTCTTAAAATGCCCCAAAAAATTATTAAAATATTAGCAACTCTTTTCGTTAAAAATA